ACTCCTGACCCCACCACTTAGTAGCTCTGTGCCTTAAGCAAAGTACTTAACTCCTCTCTGCCTCGATTTCCTCCTCCCTAAAAACCAAACACAGGATGGATAATGACAGCGCAGGCCTCACCTGATGATTTGATGAGCAGCGAGCCGTGTGTGTGTCCTAGTAGCTTTTGTTTTATTTTATATTTATTTATTTATATTTGTAGTTATTTATTTATTTGACAGAGAGAGGGAACACAAGCAGGGGGAGCGGGAGAGGGAGAAGCAAGCTTCCCACTGAGCGGGAAGCCCTGTGTGGGGCTCGAACCCAGGACCCTGGGATCACGACCTGAGCTGAAGGCAGACGCTTAACGACTGAGCCACCCAGGGGCCCCTCGGGCCTGTATTTTTCACTCTGCTTCCTAGAGCCCTGGGGTTGTGGCAGGGACTGGATGGCCACCATGGGATGAGAGTGCACTGGGGAGAGATCAAAGACACGCCTGAACAAGGACTGATCACTTCCTGTCCATCCCTTGCCCCATTCTCCCCACCTGAACACCAAACACAGCAGCTTTGCTTTCATCTCTCCTGTTGTAGCCCTGCTGTCCTAAAACACCTCTGGCTTTCAAGGGGCGCCTGGGTGGCTCAGTCAGGCATCTGGTTCTTGATTTCAGCTCAGGTCATGATCTCATGGGCTCCGCACTCAACAGGGAGTCTGCTGAAGAGTCTGTCCCTCTGCCCCTCCTCTCATGCTCTCTCTCAAATAAATAAATAAATCTTAAAAAAAAAAAAATACAACCCTTTGGCTTTCAGGATGAAGTCCAAGGTCTAAGAGAGACACTTCATAAACTATCCCCACTACCGGCCCAACCTTAATGCTGTGTTCCGCCGCAAATTGAACACTTGATGAACATGTGTGCCATCCTGTTGCCTACACCGACAGTGCTCAGATGTCTCTGTCTTCCCTTGTGCTCTGTTCTCTGCCCAGATGACCTTTACCTTTGCCTCACTTGCTTGGCTCACTGCTAATTGTTCCTTCAGATTCAGCTCAAGTGTCAGCTCCAGCAATGACTGCCTGTTCCTGTCTTCAGGTGCAGCTGGGCAGCCTCATCTGTGTTCCCCTAGCACTCCTTGCCCATCTCCGTCACTGCACAGACAATAGAACCTTCTGTGTAGGTTTATCCTCCCTACCAGCCGCACCCTCCAGGAGGGCAGGACAAAGACCATGCTGCTTTTGCTTGCCACTGTATCCCAGGTAGCTTGCACATTGCCCAGCACATTGTAGATTCTTGGTAAATATTTGACTTACTGCTTGCCTCAGTAACTTGAGAAGATGAAATGCAAAACTCTTAGCATGTTTTTTTTTTGATAGGCCCATCCCAGTCTTGCTCGGCTTCCTCTCTTGCCACCCTCACCCCGTGGACTTGCATTGTTCTGGCCGTGGGCTCTCTGAGCCTCTCGGCACACCATTTCCCCTTCTGAGTTACTTACACTCCCTCCCCCTATACTTCTCCGCACTAGCAAGCCCCTGACCTTCAAGGCCACAAGATAGATTTCCGCTGACATGTACCTGGCCTTCCTCTATGCTCCCGCAGTGCACTCTTGAGACGCATGGTGTCCTCCAATTTCAGAATTGCAGGCTTTTTTTTTTTTCCTTATCACCTTAGATTTCAGCTCCTTGGGAGCAAGGAACATGTCTCTTTTATTATTTTGTTAGACTGATGTTCCATTAGCTTCTTCTCCATATTGAGTCAAGTCCAGGACTTCCGATGTGCCCTAAGTGGTCCCTCACAGTCTGTCCTCAGACTGTCTCTGTTCTAGCCTCGTCTCCTGCCACTGCCTGTGAGCCCTGAACTGCAGCCCTTTCCCGCAGCTGGTGGTTTTCTGAGCCTATTTCATGTTGGACTGACCATATCGAGTCTGTCCACGTGCTGCTTTCCTTTCTGAAATGCTGGCTGTTAGCAGAGGCTCTGTTTTCTTCAGGATAGGGTATTCTTTTTATTCCAATTTTTAAAAGGTATGTAATGTTTCAGTATACATCAAAGAGATAGAGTAATATAGCAATCCCCTATGTATGTATCCAGCATAACAAAAACAACATTTTATACATAGAAGAAGAGAGAGAAGGAGAGAGAGAGAGAGCTAAATCCCCCTTTTTTTTCCTCTCTCATCCCATTTCCTTCCCTTTCTCAGGGAATAATGGCTATCTTAAATGTAGTATTTATCATTTCCGTATGTTTTATTATTTCATGTTTTATGTGTAGAAGATAGGTGATACCGTTTTTGCATTTTTAATACATTATGTAAATAATATTACCTTGGTCACATTCTTCCACAAGAGTCCTTGCTGGTAAAACAATATTGTTTTGGAGATTTACCCATATTGTTGCATGTAGCCTTAGATAGCTTTAAATTACCATGTAGTTGTTCATTATAGGACTATCTGACAGTTATATTTACCTATTCTATTGTTCATCAATGTTTTGATTGTTTTCAGTTTTTCATTGTTAAACCAATTTGTAGTGAACATTCTTGTATAAAAAGAAAAACCTAGTCTTTTTCTAGTTCTAAAAGCAAGGACTCTGGCAGTGATATCCTGAGTGAATAGTACACTTGAAAGCCAGTTTCGCTCCAGAATTACCCCTTTACACTCAAACATCATATACCTTTACCATTTACTGTAATGGAAGTAAGCTAAGGGGGCTAGTACTTCGATTGCAAAGCTTTCACCAGAAGTTACTTTTCTCAGCAATTTACAAGCCATGTCTCCTATACATTTAGGTCATTTTGCCTTTAAAATGTTAAATGCAAGCCAGAATTAGAATGTTTTAAAAAAAAGTTGAAAGCTCTATAGCTATAAGACCTGAGGGAAAAGCCTATTAAATTGTCGAAGAATAACAACTTGAAGTAAGTATGAATGCTGTTTCTCATTCATGATAGGAAACTGGAAGTGGCCTCAAATCAGCTGTTCTCACACCAGCTTTCTTAGGAGCAGCTGAGGGCAGTGGTCACAGATCCTTGAGGTGGACCAGTCAACATTTTCAGCCCTTATTATTTTCCGTTATGCCCAACTGGAAGAGCTTATGTTGGAATCGAGGCTCACTTCCTTGTTTTGTCTTCTTTTAACAAGAAAAGCATCCGGATTGTTAGTATTCTCTTTGAAAATAAACAAAACTCGCCTTTTTTCTCCGAAGGAAACAATTTCAAATCCTTTGTGCTTTGATTCTTACAATTCTGATGGAAGGTACCATAGATTATCTCTGCTGTCCTCTGAAGGGACACTCCGGGGACACGGACAGAACCCCCAGGTTGCTGGTATTTTGTAAACTCAACAAGGAGCGCTTTCTTCACTTGCCCCCCTTCTTCTGACCAACACCAGGACGTGCACTTCTTCCAGGCATATTTAGTGCTTTCCCTTTTTGTTTGGGCATCAGTTCATGCCTCTGAGACTTGCCAGGCCCTGTGCTAGAGCTGACCGTCAAGGTTCCTTCGGTCTCAGAAAACTCCTGAAATGCCCTTTATTCCTGAAAGGTACTGCTAACAAACTAAAAGAATCTTAGTAAATTTTTTCTTTATGCATTTCCATGTGATTACGCTTTGTACACTATCCCAACAGATTTTTGCCTTTTCATCATTTACAAAATAATTTGTATATTTGAAACGTATACTGCTAATGCAGTTCACTGTTCTATTCCATTACTATTTTACTCAGCAGTTTTACTTCAACAGATTTATCCTGTACATAGTCTCACCTCAGTATGCTAAAAAATTATATACGAGGGTGTTCATCGCAGTGCTGTTTATAAAAAAATAAACCTGGAAATGTTAAAATGATTGATTAATAATGGACTAAATATAAATAAATTACGGTATATCCATATGCTTAGATATCCGTTATTGGCACTCAACATTTATTGAATGGATCAAGGAATATTTTATTCAATGAAAAAAGTGTGAAGTACAGAACAGTACATATTTGGTGGAATAAAAAGGATGGATATGTATGTACAGTATTCATTGATACACAGGGCTTGCTGCCTTTAACATTTCTGGAATCACAGACAGTAAACTGCCAGTACGCAGTAGCTACCTGTGCACCATGGCAATGGGTGCGAGCAGGAAGTATGAGGTTTACTTTTTAACCTTAGAAGGTAAAACAAAAGAAAACTAAACCTCAAGTGGAGAAGAACCTTGGGCCTTCTGGGCCTTCCTCTTGTAGTGCTCCCCAGTGGAATAATCTGCCTGCAAATTCCACCTGCCACGCAGCCCCAAGCCCTGACCCGTCTGTGTTTTCAGCTCACCACGATGCTGCTGTGTACTGCTTGGGTCCCAGCATTCTGCCGCACAGTTTGGAATGTTTCCCTAAGCAGGTACTCCCTTCTTCTAGGGATCCCAATCCTGCACTGCAGATGTTGTACACCATTTGAAAAAAAAAGTCATTTCATATATTTTGTCCACTTTTTAAGGTGTTAACAGCAGGAAGCTTATTTGGTACCGGTTAATCCATCGCGACCAGAGGTGGAAATCTTATAATATATATATTTAAAGTCATTCTTTTTGAGAAATAACAAGATAAAGCTGTGATAAAAAGTGATTGACTATATTATACTAGAGGAATAATTTAATCCAACACACTTATTTGAAAGATGAGAAATTAAGATACAAGTCCAAGTGACTAGTAATAGATTGCACTCAGAGTTCCTTGTGAAGTCTGTGCATATCTCAGTCTGTCTGAATCTCTGTCCACTGTTCTTTCCACGATAGTGGAAAATTCTCCTATGTTTGAAATAGAATTTTAAGCTGTCAAGCTTTTTTTTTATTCTTTTGAATCCTTATAATTTAAACATTCTCCCCACTTCATTTTTTTGTTATATTGATAGTATTATTAATCCTGCTGTTAACACAGGCATGAAGAAAAAAATCATTACATGTGTATTTTAGAATAATTGACATTCTGCAGAACTCATAAAACCTAGGAAAGGAAACACTTAGTTCTTTCTTTTTTTGTTTTTTGTTTTTTTCAGTTTGTTTTCCTTGCTGTCTAAAAAACACAACAAAGTTCTGGAACAAGCCACACAGTCCTTGAGAGGTTCACTGAGTTCCAATGATGATCCTCTACCAGATTACGTAAGTAGTTACCTTACTTTGTCAGTAATAAGTTTTCCTTTCATTGTTAGGTTTGTAAGTAACAATCTCTGTTCTCAAGATCTGACTGTGATCTTGGTGCCTCTCATATGCAGATAAAGGAGTGCTATCTCAAATCAAGGGAAAAACTTGTAAATGATTATTAACAAGTGGCTCAAGAAAGTCAGCCCTAAGCTAGTGACTGTTAATAATTAGGACTCTTGTTACCTCAGGCAAGAAACCCACTCAAACTAATTACAGAGAAGCAAAAGAAGCGGTCTTACAGAAAATATGCAGAGGTTTCTCACTGATCTCAAGGGGCAGAGGTACAGAGGCTGGATTTCACAGAGAACCAGAACCTGAAATTGAAAAAGCCTTTGGATTCAAGAATATCTTGTCTTTCTGAGGCTGTTTAATTTCCAGGCTCTGCTTCCTTTTGCTTCCGTTTTACTCTTGAGCTGTTCCCTATTGGCCAGATTTCCCTTTTTGCTGACTTGGACCTAAAATAGTCACTCCAGCCTTTCTCCCTCCTTGTGAGTGTCCTGTCTTTAGCCACCTGACCAGAGTCTTGAAGTCCCAATTCTCCATTCCTGGGAGAGAGAATCTAATTGGCTCTGCTCAGCTCTGGTCCTGTGAGCCCTGGTCAGTGGAGGACAGCACTTTTGTGTTGCCTTGGTTTCATCCACTTTAAAGATGAAGAGCCTATTCCCACCTAACCTCAGAGAATGACGGCGTGGGAGAATGGGAGCGGCACGGGGATGAGCATTATGGAATAACAGGAAGGGGGGTATTAGGAATGCCTATAGGGCAGTGCCACTATCCGTGACGTTCCTGATATTTTGGAACATGGCTTAGATGAGGATGCTGAACATTATCTTGTCATAGACCACAGAAGTAGTCCATCGAGTTCTAATAAGGACAGCAACTCTCAGTGGGTTGATATTTAGAAACTTCATGAGAGAATTTTTAAGTTCAGAGTTTGAAGTGGGTGATGCATACCAGACAGCCGGCGAGTTGTTTTGTTTCCTGTGGTTTGTTTCATTCTAAATGGCTGTGCTGATACGAGACTGTGGGAACGGCCCCCAGTCCGGATAGCAGTCGCTGATAAACAGAGATAGCTGGGTGCAGCCACAGCCCAACTCGTGCTATTTTTCTTCTCTTTTATTTATTTTGTGTATGCGTGTAATGTGATGATCTGTCATTCCCATTAAGGTATTAAGTTTGTAATTCCAAAGTACTTCTCTTTTACAAAAAAAAAAGTATCTTTTATGATTTTCCTGCTAATTGGATATTCTCAGCGTTTTAAAAAAAATAGCATAATAGCTCACTTCTATCCGAGCCATAACTTGTTATGAGAAAAATATTTCTTCCTAATCACCCCTTGGAAGCCTCAATTGGGGCCTCTGAGTGGCCGTGGGGATTGCGTTTATTAAGAGCTTGAATTCAGAGATGCCTGGGGGACTCAGTCAGTTAAGTGTCCAAATCTTGGTTTGGGCTCAGGTCATGATCTCAGGATTGTGAGACTGAGCTCTGCAGCCGGCTCTGTGCTGGGGCTGGAGCCTGCTTAAGATTCTCTCTCCCTCTACCCCTCCCTCTATAAAAAAAATAAATAAGAAAAAAAAACTTGAATTCCTCTATAAATGTTTTATTTTTATACAGTTACCATTTGCTTACACAGCACTCCTATGTCATTCCTTCCGCAAAAATGTGTTGAATGTATTTAGTGTTGAGGTTGTGCTAGCAGCATTCTCCTGTAATCAGAGACCAGAAAATCACTATGTCTTTGAGAAAATGGATCATATTTAATGGTATTTGCCAATCATGAAAGGACAGGTTGAACTCCTAACAGACATACCAATTCTACTATTGAATCTGACAGTTTTTAGAGTTGCTGACTTGTTCTTGCATGAAATTTTCACTAAGTAAAAATGAATTTCTTAAGGTATCTGCTTCATAGAAATACAGGGAAAATTCCACTCAGAATCTGTCCTTGACAGTCCTTATTTTACCGTTTGTGTGTGTGAGACTTTACAAATCACAACGTACTCCAGACGGGTTTATGAACTTCAGTTTTGCTGCCTTTCCTCAGAGTTCATTGCAGAGGGTGGGTTGCCCCTATTCAGTAGTAATGACGGCAGTGGGCTCCCCGCTGCCCCTCGGCTGCGCGGTGACCAGAGAACGCCGCAGCAGCCTTAAGTCAGCACTGCAGCGTGTTCTTTGATAGTAACTGAGTGTGTTCACTTGGCATTCCCACTGTGCAGAACACTATGAGTGATTTGCATATTTGAAACCATGTTCTCACTGTCATTCTCTTTTAAATTGGTCATTAACTGGGAAAACAAAAGGTTTCTCCTTTTTTCCCTCCCTGGAAATTTTAATTAAATGTCTCTGCCAACAGCCACATAAAACTCTATGTCCTGCACTTATGCTGTAGACCACGTGTCTGTAAAAGGTGGAAGAGGAAAGTGGGTCCCTGTCAGCATAGTGGCTCCCTTCTGTCCGAGCCGTGGCCATGCTTTCACACCGGGATTGAGCGAGCTCGAATAAGCGCTCAAAAGTAGGAATGCGTTCTCCTTCTCACTGTAATACATAGAGTACTTTCAGTCTGCCTAGAGGTTTCTGAGTTTATTAAGAAAACGTTTATGCTCGTTATACTGTATAATTCACAAGTCCGCCGAATAACAACATAGAAAACAAATAGCCTGGGTGGCTCAGTTGGTTGGACGACTGCCTTCGGCTCAGGTCATGATCCTGGAGTCTCGGGATCAAGTCCCGCATCGGGCTCCCTGCTCGGCGGGGAGTCTGCTTCTCCCTCTGACCCTCCTCCCTCTCGTGCTATCTCTCATTCTCTCTCTCAAATAAATAAATAAAAATCCTTAAAGAAAAAAAAAACAAATAGCAGGTTATAAAAACATGAGTGTTCATACTTCAGTACAACCTTGTTTGTCGGAACAGCTCAGGGGAGACCTGAAGCCTTCCACCAAGTTCTAGATAATGAGGAGACTGCCCTGCCTGCTGAAGGGGAAATAAAATAAAAATTGCACTCAAGTCCTCTTTGGGGAGAGAGAATGCTGAGTACAGAGAGGGAGAGCTGGTTCTGCAGCCTCTCTCCAGGGGCAGTGAAGATGGCTGGGAAAGCACGTGCGGTTCAGCTGGCCACGTGAGTGGGCTTTGCTGTCTTTAGGGTTTCCTAAAAGTGAATTCAGTGACTGAAGGCACAGGGGAGAATTGTTAAAGGAGAATCTTTCAACATTTTTTTTTTTAAATAAAACCACTTGGGTCATGTGTGACAGACCTGAATATATAAAGTGCAACAAAGATAACAAATGAATTATAGTTGCTTTTTAAACTATAACTGTAGTTTTTAAATTATGAATATTGTTACAGTGTCCTATAAGCTTTTTTCCCCTAACTTCTGACAGTCATCTTAGCAACTATTTCGGAAAAGAAGAATCTAACTCTTATTCTAGGTGGAACCATAAGGAACCAGATTATATTGTCCTTTGATCATCAACCAACCTGGGAACCTTTCTGTAGGACTGACTCTGCCATCTAATTTTAAACGGTAATTGCAAGGTTATAAGCCAAAAGGACCCAGCCAAAAAGATTAAGGAGACAGAATCAGAAAAATCAGCTGGAGTATAAATAACAGCTAAGAGTTTATCATTGAATGCTAAGCAAGTATAATGTTACTAATGTCTATATGTGTGTCTGTGGGTATATATACACATAACCCACACACACACATTCCAGTGGTTCTCAGGGTTCTCATTTTTACTTTCCTTTACCCATGACTGTACAGTAGAGTTGTCCAGAGGCTTCATGATGAGTGATCATTTCATTGGCCACTCACAGAATTTGTACTTCTGTATTCTTGTATTCTTGTGTTTTAAATAATTCTTAGTCTTGGGACGCCTGGGTGGCTCAATGTAAAGCGTCTGCCTTTGGCTCAGGCTGTGATCCCAGGGTCTTGGGATCGAGTCCCGCATCGGGCTCCCTGCTCGATGGGAAACCTGCTTCTCCCTCTCGCACTTCCCCTGCTTGTGTTCCCTCTCTCACCGTGTCTCTCTCTCTCTGTCAAATAAATAAATAAAATCTTTAAAAAAAATAAATTATTCTTAGTTTTAATTTGTAATACGATAAATACCAATACATATAATCTACATAAAAATAGTTTTTTGAGGGACACCTGGGTGGCTCAGTTGGTTGGGCGGCTGTCTTCGGCTCAGGTCATAATCCCAAGGTCCTGGGATCGAGCCCCGCGTCCGTCGGGCTCCCTGCTCGGCGGGGAGCCTGCTTCTCCCTCTCACTCTGTCTGCTGCTCTGCCTGCTTGTGTTCTCTCTCTCTCTGTCAAATAAATAAAATCTTTAAAAAAAAATAGTTTTTTGAGAGCATCAGAGATTTCTAAGAATATAAAGCATCTTAAGATCAGAATACTTCAGAACCAGTGGAATATATGATCTCTTACACACACACACACACACACACACACACACACACACACAGGCACGCTCACACAGACATGCACACACGCACACATGCACACACACGCAGAAGGAACAAGTAAATATCTGCTGTTTTATATCCTATAATTGTTTCATCTGTAATATTCTTCTCTCCCTGTAGGATTGAGTGCACTTTGAAGGCATGAGTCTTTTGTATCTTAGGCTGAAAAAAGTAAGCTAAATGTTAACCAATTAATTGATGAGGATGAAGCTCCATCTCCACACATTTGCATGCTCTTGCAGGCATCCAAAACTTCAAAGGAGTTTCAGATCTAAATTTTATCTGTATGACATTCAATTTGAATGGTTTGGTTGTTTCCTTAGTCAAAAATGATTAGTTTCTAACATGTAGTGGACATGTGTAATTTTTTTTTTAAGATTTTATTTATTTATTTGACACAAAGAGAGACACAGCAAGAGAGGGAACACGAGCAGGGGCAGAGGGAGAGGGAGAAGCAGGCTTCCCGCTGAGCAGGGAGCCCGATGTGGGGCTTGATCCCAGGACCCTGGGATCATGACCTGAGCTGAAAGCAGACGCTTAACGACTGAGCCACCCAGGCGCCCTGACGTGTGTAATTTTTAAGCTAAATTATATATTTTCTCATTAATTTGTGCATGATCTTTATGTCAGAATTGATTATTTTCTGGGGCACCTGGTTGGCTCAGTCAGTGTGACTCTTGATCTCAAGGTCATGAGTTTGAGCCCCATAGTGGGTATAGAGATTACTTAAAAAATAAAATGTTAAGGCTCTGGAAGCAGCCCCGGCCACCGTACAGCGCCCCGGTGGCCAGACCGCGTAGCCAGCACAACCATGCCAGTCACCGGCAAGAGTTTCCGCTGGTGCCGGGCCAACTCAGAGTCAAAGGAAGATGAGCAGGAATCAGAGGAGGTTCAATTAAAACTAGAAGAGACCCGCAAGGCGCAAAACTTGAAGAAGAGGCCCAACGGGGTGAGTGCTGTGGCCCTGCTGGTGGGAGAAAAGGTACACGAAGAGACCACCCTAGTGGATGATCCCCTTCAGATGAAGACAGGCGGTATGGTGGATGTGAAGAAACTGAAGGAAAGAGGCAAAGATAAGATCAGTGAAGAGGAAGACCTCCACCTGGGGACATCATTTTCCACAGAAACCAGCCGAAGGGATGAGGATGCTGACATGATGAAGCACATTGACACAGAGCTGAAGAAGAGGAAGGGGGTTGTAGAACACGAGGAACAGAAAGTCAAGCCGAAGAATGCAGAGGACTGTCTTTACGAACTTCCTGAAAACATCCGTGTTTCCTCAGCAAAGACTGAAGAGATGCTTTCCAACCAGATGCTGTGCGGTATCCCCGAGGTGGACCTAGGCATCGACGCTAAAATAAAAAATATCATTTCCACAGAGGATGCCAAGGCCCGTCTGCTGGCAGAGCAGCAGAACAAGAAGAAAGACAGCGAGACATCTTTCGTGCCCACCAACATGGCCGTGAATTACGTGCAGCACAACCGATTTTATCACGAGGAGCTCAATGCCCCCATACGGAGAAACAAAAGAGCCCAAAGCCCGACCCTTAAGAGTGGGTGACACGGAGAAGCCAGAGCTTGAGCATCCCCTCCTAACTGCAAGTGTCCTGCTAATGAGAAGGCCACCGACGACTATCACTATGAGAAGTTCAAGAAGATGAACAGACGGTACTAAGGGTGGCGAAAGGGAGAAGTGCAGAATGGGATGTAAATAGCGCTATCCCTTCTGTACCCCTCCCCCCGCCCCAACAAAATGCTTCCTGGACAGAAGTTTGTTTATTTGCTAGCAGACCATTCCAAAAACAGACTCTTATTAGCCCTGCTGCTTACCTGCTGGATTTTTCAGGCACTGCATTTATAACCTTTTGAAACAAAACAATGTGTAGTTTCCCTATTTGAGGGCAGACTCTATTCTTGTGAGCATTATTAAATCTTGTTTGTAAATATGTTGACTTTCTCTTAATATTGGCCGGAGGAAACAGCTGTGTTCAGAGTGAGATGAAACCCTTTAGAATGTGCTGTTAATTATTAATATATGCAATCGTGTGTTCTACGTTCAAATACCTCGAGTTCAGAAATGCATCCTGCACTGTTTATGCTGGATCCAGCTGACAGCAGAAGAATCTAGGATGGAATCAAAGGGACACTGGCATTTTCTGACTTTTACAAAGTTACCTATTTCTTTTCATTAAGAAAGAAAAAGAATTTCTATCCTTTTCAGCACTTAAGTATTAAATATGAAACAAATCCAAATAAATAAATAAAATGTTAAAATTGCTCCTTTCCTATTCAAAGGGTAGTTGTTGTATTCTTTATTTTAGTTCAGTACACATAAAACAGGTTGTTCAGGGGCGCCGGGGTAGCTTAGTCATTAAGCGTCTGCCTTCGGCTCAGGTCATGATCCCAGGGTCCTGGGATTGAACCCTGCATCGGGCTCCCTGTTCGGCGGGAAGCCCGCTTCTCCCTCTTGCACTCCCCCTGCTTGTGTTCCCTCTCTTGCTATGTCTCTGTCAAATAAATAAAATCTTAAAAAAAAAAAAAAAAAAAACAGGTTGTTCAACCTCTGTTTGATCTAATAATTTGCTATCTTAAATTTTAACTTCCTAAAGAGCAAACTCCCATGTATTTGAAATTTGTTTTGATCAAATCTTGATTGCTTATTCTGCATGGAATCCTGAAATATTGCTAACCCTGGAGTATGTCATTGACTTACCTTTTGAACCAATTAACTCTTAAGATCTTTTTTTTATTTTGGAGAGAGAGAGCACACGAGCCAGCGAATGGGGGGAGGGGCAGAGTAAGAGGGAGAGAGGCAGAATCCCAAGCAGACTCCCCGCTGAGTGCAGAGCCCTACACAGGGCTTGATCCCACAACCCTGAGCTCATGACCTGAGCTGAAATCAAGAGTCTGATGCTTAACTGGCTGAGCCACCCAGGTACCCCTGAGCCAATAACTCTTATTCATAGTCTTTTGGCTCTTGTTTATATTTGCTTTTAGACATTTCATTTCTTCAGAAATATGTTACAGGGTATTCTGAACTGATGCCACGTAACAAGAAAACCTAAGTTCAGGGATTTTTCTGTTTTTCTCCCATGTATCTTAGGTCATTATATTTTTAAGATTCCTTGTTAGTATTTACTCTTTAACTCAAATCTCAAATTCATTTGACTGAAATAGTTGCTAGGTAATCTTGAAAAATATCTTCAGCTGTTTGTTTTATACATTTGTGCCTTTACTGAGATAATGTTAAAATGCTTCCATTCACATACACAGTCATAAATACACATACATACTACATAATACTTGTATTTTGTAGTGTTGGTTCTGGATGAGACTGTCACTTGCAGATTTTCCTGTGGGATATAGAGGCTGGGGTAGAGAATTTAACATTGCTAGAACATGAGAATGGTTATCTGTGATGAGCTACAATATCCAAGAGGTTGGAAACGATGAAATTTGCCATTGTTAAAACTGTTCCTTTTAGATACTGTTACTTTTGAAGGAATTACTTTTGGGTGTTTATTCTGGTGATAGTGACATTAATCAGGATGTTGCTAAAACTTCTGTTTTGGAATTACTTTAGCATGGTGTGAGAGGTAAAAATGAAGGTGGCCTAGTGCCTGTACACAGGGATTCTCAGTGGCTAGTTAAATACAATTCCATATGATAAATTTTATAAGAGGGCTGTAACCAAACTTGTGGGTTGTCTGAAGAGGAAGAGAGCAATTTGGGGGAAGTAGGGAAGGAATTGTGCCAGGTTTCATGGAAGGGAGTTGCAATTTGAGCCAGGTAGTATTTTTTTTTTAAAGATTTTATTTATTTATTTGACAGAGAGAGACACAGCGAGAGAGGGAACACAAGCAGGGGGAGTGGGAGAGGGAGAAGCAGGCTTCCCGCTGAGCAGGGAGCCTGATGCGGGGCTTGATCCCAGGACCCCGGGATCATGACCTGAGCCGAAGGCAGACGCTTAACGACTGAGCCACCTAGGCGCCCCAAGCCAGGTAGTATTTTGAAAGGAGAGATTGAGGGGGGAAAACAGTCCAGGGTTCTGCTTCTTGAATAAGGGCATAGAGGTAAAAACAGCACATCACCGCCCTTGGGTTTCTCGTGTCCAGCACAATGTCTGGCATGTAATAGGTGCTTATACCGTACACAAACACTAACTCAGAATGGACCATAGCCCTTAAATATAAGAGCAAATACTATACAATACTTAGAAGAAAATATAGGAGTAAATCTTTGGCAACAAAATAAAGACAGACAAATTAGACTTCATCAAAATTTAAAACTCTTGGGCTTCAAAGGCCACCATCAAGAAAGTGAAAGGAAAGCCCACAGGATGGGAGAAAATATTTGCAAATCTTATAGCCGATAAGGGACTGCTTAGTATTTAGAATATGTAAATAATTTTAGAATATGTAAATAATTCTTAACAGCTCAATCACAAAAAAGACAAATAGTACAGTTTTTTAAAAAAATGGGTGAATGTTGTGTAACCTGGTTCTGTAGCTTATGTATCTTACAGAGCTGTCTGGCCTCGGGCAGGTCATTTTGCCTCTCCGGGCCTCAATTGTCTCATCTGCAAAACGGGAGTGACAGCAGAACCTACTGCCCAGGGTTGTTGTCAGGATTAAATGAATGAGTCCAGGTAGGATCCTTGGCACACAGCAGGTGTTTAGTAAGTTTTAGCTACTACAGTTATGCTGTGCAGTTCGTGTTTGGGAGAGAGATTCTGGGACAACAGGAGTCAGTTCAGAAGATGGAGATGTCTCCACGCCCTCGGGTGATGGGGAAAACTTCCTGCAGGAGAGGTATGACATCAGGTGAAGGGGGAGAGATAACGGGAGCCACCAGGAACTGACCATAGTTGAGCGGTGACATCAGGAACATCTTTAATCTGTTTGGGAACACCTCAGTAGTTATTTGGCACCAAAGGATGAATCTCAACTCTGAAGGGGGGCCCTCACTTTTCAGCATGCTCCCTGATCTTAGAAATATACCAGGGCTGAGTGTGTCCCAGAGCCCCTGAGATGAACCAACCCAGAGTGACCACCAAGAGCAAAGGAGTGGCTCATGTTGGCATTTTTCTAGTTGGCCAGCCAGTTTTCCTGACTGCCAGACATCCCACTAGGCCTTGGCTGAGGCAGTGATTGGGATGCTCACCAATCCCATCTCCTCTGCCTGATTACACAGCTAAGCACTATTTGCCATCATGCTCACATCTGGCGAGGTGCGGGAGCATCAGACTAGCTACATAGCCAGTGGGATATAGGTGGAAGTGATGTCACCACCCCCACCCCCGGGCCATCTTCCGCATCTCTTCTCATCACGTGCTAGCTGGATGCAGGAAATGGTGTGAGACTCCAGGGTCCCACAGTATGGCAGTGCGTGGGCTTCTGAATCCTCTCAGTGAAAGCCAACTGGGTACCCTGTTGGGCTGTGGTGCAAGAGAGCAATAAAGCTTTTACTACGTTAAAAAAGAAAATGGGCAAAGGATCAGAATAGACATTTCTCCAAAGCAGACAATACAAGTGACCAGTAAGCACATCGAAAGATGCTCAACATCATGGTCAGGAAGTGCAGATTTCAGCCACAGTGAAGTTTACACCACCAAGATGACTGTCATCAAAAGGCAGAAAATCACAAGTGTTCGTGAGGGTGTGCAGAAATTAGTATCCTCATTCAGCTCATGGTAAAAATGTAAAATTGTGCAGCTGTTTTGGAAAACAACCTGCAGTCCCTCAAAAAGCTAAAAGTGAAATAACCATATGACCAGCATATGGTAATACTCCCAAAGAATTGAGAACAAAAGTCCATGCAAAACATGACTATTCATAGCACCTTTATTCCTAATAGCCGAAAAAGGGTGACAATCCCAATGTCCATCAACTAAATGGACAAATCCAAGGTGGCTATCCATACCATGGAATATTATTGAACAATAAAAAGGGATGAAGTAATGGTACGAGCTTCAACATGGATGAACCTTGAAAACGTTATACTAAGTTAAAGAAGCTGCATGTCATTTATATGAAGTGTCCAGAGTAGGCACATCTTACAGAGACAGATAGTAGATGGGTCGGACTGGGGGCATGAAGCGGAATGAGGAGTGACTGCTGACGAGTACAGGTTTCTTTTGCGGATGATGAAAATGCTTTAAAATTAGGTAGTGGTGATGTTGCACAACTCTGAATATACTAAAACCATTGAATTGTACACTTTAAATCAGTGAAATATATGTTGTGTGAATTTTATCTTGATGAAGCTATTTAAAAAAAAGTAGTGCTTAAATAAAAAAAAGGCAGTGCTTGGAGCACTAGAAGAAAAGAACTATTTGTTGAATATTAGTGATAGATACCAGCTTGGCTGGCATTGCATGAGGATGAATGTACGAGAATAAAGTTCATACTTGGAAAAAGTTAATATTTTCAAGGAGAGAAAATGTTTCTTTTTTTTTTTTTTAAAGATTTTATTTATAAAATTTATTCATGAGAGACAGAGAGAGGGAGGGAGGGAGAGAGAGAGAGAGAGAGGCAGAGGGATAAGCAGGCTTCCCGCCAAGCAGGGAGCCCGATGCGGGACTCGATCCCAGGACCCCGGGATCATGACCTGAGCCGAAGGCAGACGCTGAACCATCTGAGCCACCCAGGCGCCCCGGAGAGAAAATGTTTCTTGAGCAGTGATTTGACTTGAGAAACTCTTAAAGTCAATTAGATACGCAACTGCATAAAGGTGTGTATTTTTCAGCCTGGCTTATGAACAAAAAAGTACAAACAAGCAAAATACCCATCAATAAGGGACTGATTAGATAAAGTATAAATTCATCCAGTCCACTATTCTGCAGCCATTTTTTTTTGCAGCCATTTTTTATAAAAAGTGAATTCAAGCCATATGGGCTTATATGAACTGTTAACACTTAAATCACTAAAAAAAACCCAAAATACTTTA